CATACTTATATGTATATATATATACACACAGACATATATGTGTGTGTGTGTGTGTGTTTGTGTATATGTTTGAATGTGTGTATATAAATCAATATACAATTATATATATACATATATAAACATATATATGTATACATATGTATATGTGTATATGTATATGTATATGTATATATACATATACATATATATATACATATATATATATATATATATATACAGTCAACTCCCCGTTAACACGAGTTCCGGTAACATGATTTCGAAGTTACGCGGGTTAAAATTTATTGATATATTCTGTTAGCGTGAAATGTTCGAAGATACGCGGTTTGAATTTCCCGCCTACTTTAGTCGAATATCCCGCCACTAGAGCGCGGGAGAGACTCCCGCCAGTTTACATGAATAAATTTATGTTACTGAGCCTTCCAATAGTACAAATAATATACTACACAGTGTGTTTCTATTGTTTTTGTAACCTTCAAATATATAATAATGTGTATTTTTAGGTTTCTTAGTAATAAAATTCCCAAAGTAGGCAGACTTTCCCAATGTCCAGGAACCTAACCACCACTATTACCATTATTTCTTATGGAGAAATTATGTTCCGTTAACGTGATTTCCGTTAACGCTGTATCTCCAGGAACCTAACCCCCGCGTTAACGGGAGTTGACTGTATATTTATATCAATGGTGGGTGCTTCATGCTCAGGATGTGAAGCGATGGTGTGGTAGCCTATAGTATTAAGTGCTTGCATGCCTTCTCGCTTGCAGCTGCCACCACTGGCTAGCCTAGTGCGAAAAAGGGAGCAGCTCTGCATAAGCCTCCCCTGCCAGTTCACAGCCTCTCCGTCATCGCGACTCCTTCAGTGCCTCCTCGTGGCCACCCATGGAAACTGGGAACCTTTTGGTCCCAGGCTGAACTTTGGAGGATCTCGGAGCAGCAGGAGGCCCCAGAGGTATGGAGCTATGGCCCACCAGCGTATGGACACGCCCTGGCTTCGTACCAACTACTGCACCTCAGCCACCCTGGGGAAAATGGGAGGCTCGGGGGAGGTGGGCCTTGCCAACCCTTCACGCCCCAGAAAACTCACCGGCACCGTCACGAATAAATGGTTATGCTGGGGGGAGGGTTGCTATCCCACTCACCCAGCAAGTAAAGTGGGGGGAGGGCAAATGATGAGGCACAGGCCTCATGCAGGGTTGGAAGGTACCAACCCTGCATGAGGCCAGTGGGGCCGAGCCTAAGGGAACCCCACAGGCAGACGTTGGACCCAACAGCCTGCTGTCCCCCTTTATTTGGGGCAGCGCCGGCTGGAATGGCAGAGGTGGCATCCACCTGGAGCGACCGCCCGAGGTTTAACCTCAGGTAAGCTATACTGGTAGGCGCTTGGAACATCCAGTCCTTGCAGCAGGTCGTGGGGTTACCTTTACTATCAAGGGAATTGGAGCAGTTGGGAGTTGAGGTGGCTGCCCTCTTGGAGGTAAGAAGACCTGACAATGGTACAATCAGTATGGGTTGTACACCTATTACTGGTCAGGCTGTGGCGATGGTCACCATCTCCAGGGAGCAGCCATAGCCATCTCCAGCCGACTCTAACCCTCGGTAGTTGAGGTAACGCCGGTTGATAAGCATATTATGGCACTTAGACTGAAGCATGCTTTTGGCTTTGTGTCTCTTATTGCTGTATATACTCCTACTGATGTTTACAAACTTAAAGTGAAAGAGGCGTTCCATGCCAAACTCACATTCATGGCAAACAATTTCCCCAAGTGAGACATTTGCATTGTTCTGGGTGACTTCAATATGGTATCATGTTGCGATCGAGTTGGCTACGAGATGTCCGTTGGCCCCCATGGCTCAGGAGCTGATCCCAGCAGTGAGAACAGCTTCCTTCTCCGGGACTTTGCTAGGTCCCAGAGAATGAGGATTTCTGGCTCCTGGTATCAGTGCTCCAACCCACATCGCTGGACATGGTATAGCGATACGGGTACTGTGGCCAAGAAGAACGATCACATTCTTGTCAGTACTTGATGGAGGATTCTTCAGAATTGCAGTGTTTACCGAAGCGCCGAGTTCTGTGCCACTGACCATAGGCTGGTAGTAGCTACCCTATGGGTACACTTCAAATCTCCTTGTCCCTCCCATGGCCACTCTAGGGTGTTTCACTTGGACAGATCGAGGGAGGAGGAGTGTGCCCATGGGTTCGCCACGGTAGTCACTGATCAATTCACAGAAAACCTGACAGACCCCGTTGCTCTGTGGGAGTCCTTCAAGCGTGAAACGCTAAAAGCAGAATTTCATCTCCCTTAAGACACTGGAGGCCACTAAAGTGTGTTGCATGGCTCAGCTGAATGGCAATCAGGACTTGCACCACTCTTTGGTACATAATGGACACCTGATAAGGGACAGGGAACAGTTCATCAGGAATCTTGCTGAGGAGGTCGAAGGCCATTTCTTGGTAAATAACCTTCGCCCTGCCTACCAAGCTCTGAGAAAATTGAACTCT